GGGTTTGAAAATAACTTAGAAAGACAGCCTTTCCCTCACACCCGCCCCTGGAGACGAGGTCTTGAGAAGCTGTCGAAGTCATCTCTCAACGGGCTGTAAAAGAGTTATAATTTGTAAGATTATAAATTACCCCTAGGGGGTGTTATGTCAGCATATTTCATTCACTGATTTGCTGATAAAATTACGTACTTGTTTGGACTCAAAAGTCCGCACCTTACTGCGACTATAGGTTGATTACAAACTCCTTGCGACTCAAGAACTGCGCAGTTCTTCGTACTACAAGAAATTTGTAACCTACTTTGCTCTTGTAGCGTGAGCTATGGTGTTCTTCACACCTTCGACAGATATCGGTGACTTGATAGAAGCTGAAGTGTCCTTGGATGTCCACGTCTTCCATAATCTAGGAAATACGCACACTGGTATACTATGTTCCACAAGATTTGTCTTTATTGTTCACAATCTTATCACTAAAGAAGCTGATCACACTTCTCTTAAGTGTTTATTGTGTTTTATGAGACACTTTGTTCACACTAACGCACAGATCGTTCTTTGTTGGTTATCCTGGCGTCAGTGTCACTCTCAGTCGAGTCAAAAGTAATCTGAAGACTCCACAGCGCCCCATGCCGTCACTGCCCTTTGCACAAAAAAAAAGCTGACATAGTACTTTTGCTTCCTTGCCACTTCCTCGAAGCAAAGCAGAATGTTTGATTCTTGCTGTCTTAAGCATAGACAACAATGTCCACTGTCTTTACTATGGTAACAAAGTAGGAGCAGGATTTTCCTTAATTGTCCTTGTTACGTTGGTTGTCCCTTATTACTTTGATAGTAAGGTTCTCACTACATGTTCTAGTGTGGGGTAGCTTTTACTTAATGGTCTTATTTGTCTAGGGGTAATACTTACATCATGGCTGATCATCCTGAGTGTCTCTGATACCCTTTCACCAGCCCTCTTCACAGGTTATGTAAACTACTACTATAAAAATATAACTGTATTCTCAATAGATATGTACAGAATATACAATTACAGCCTCACATTTTCAAAACAACGATCTACACACTGCATAGCTGTTCTCCCACATGGTATATCTCAACAACTTTAGTCCTCTCTCTCCTTGACATAACTCTGGGCTAACCAGTGTTTTGACACACTTTAGTCACCCTGGGTATGGTGGTCACAACTTAAATTATAAAAAAAACTCACCCCTGGAGCACACATAATGCCCCAAAAGATAGAAGAAGGACCCAGAGATCCTGCCAGGTTGAAGGCCAGCCACAGAGAGACCGAGTCAGTCCGAGGGAGAGAGAGAAGAGAGCTAAGCTCCTCCCACCAAAACAAAAGACTGTTGCCAAGCACAATTCTTCAGTTACCACAATTCTACCACACCTTAATTTTACTTCTACAAAAGGAAATACAACTTTATAAACTACTTATTTGCCAAGCACAATTCTCCAGTTACCACAATTCTACCACACCTTAATTTTACTTTTACAAAAGGAAATACAACTTGCTCCTCCCACCAAAACAAAAGACTGTTGCCAAGCACAATTCTCCAGTTACCACAATTCTACCACACCTTAATTTTACTTCTACAAAAGGAAATACAACTTTATAAACTACTTATTTAAATTTGTGTGTTTATGTGTCTATAGTATAACCTATTATATTGAGAAAAATAGGCTTGACCCAGCTGCCTCAGTCATAAGGTTGATCAGTCCTTCTGACATTTAGAGCAAAGTCCCCATCAATTCAATATAATTAGGTATTCCAGAGTAACTGTTACTTATAAATACATGTTGGGTCCTATAGCCCCATAACACCCCCACCTCCAGACGAAGTCTCACAAAAGCTAGCTGTGTCCCTCAGGATACGGCTAGTAAAAGTATATTGCTTAAGTCTGAAGGCGGTAAACAAGACTACTAGAAATGCTACATTTTCCCAGCACCATAACTACTCTTCACTTTACTGTTATTTACAAGAGATTGCAGAATTTTTAGAAAAGCAATTTAACCATACCCATATACTCAAGTGTGTAACTATTTACAATTTTAGTGACTTTTTAAACAATACACATTACAATGCAAAATTTTGCACACAATGCCCACTGTGAAAGCCCGCACCAACAGGCCTGTGCCTCTGCTACGGTAATCCAGCAAGCAACTGGTACTCCAGGGTGGCATCTTCCTGATCAGGAGACGAGAGTAGAGCCAAACCCAGAGCAGTCAGGTGTACCCCAGGCAGGAAACTTCACAAAACATGTCAAGGTGTCTCTCACTTGGTGGCCGAACCAAACAGTGAGACTTCCAGTCAACACTCACGATCCTTAACATGGTCAGGCACTTAAGCCCATCTTCCGAGGTCCCACTCCACACAGATCCTCCAAACTTATTAAGAGGAGGCTGTCATAGAACATGGAGGGGTCCAAGGGACCACAAGGCAAATCGTCGGGCCGTTTTGTACATAGAGCACACCAAGACACAACATCACATACCTTCCTGAACGTCTCATGTTACCGAAGGTTGTCAACCACTGCCTCAACTCACATTCACGTACACCCTGACCCTCGTCCACTCTTTGGCTCCGACTCAACTCCTTTACAGTCAGACGGCTGGTAGAGAGTACTCAGGCTCGCCGAGAGTTCACCACTGCAAAAACAACAAGGTCAGCACAAGACAAACACTATGTACAAAGTACGCACCATGCATCTACATGAAACATCTAGAGAGAGCATCAGCAACCACATTCTCTGAGCCTTTTATATATTTAACTTTCAAATTAAAAGGCTGTAGGAACAAAGCCCATTTTAAGAGTCTGATTTTAGTCACTATACACAGGAACAGGATGAAGAGATCCTGAGACATGTACAAATGCTGAACAGCCAGCCCCAAAATGAAAATTTTCTTTCCTGTGGTAAAATGTTGACATTTAAACTTAGAAGGTTGTTCATAGACAATAACAGTTCTGCAACCTCTCGCAGTGCAACAACAAACACCAAAGACTTCTCTTTGCACCCAGGTTGGATACATCAAGTTTACACAAACACCATCACGTTCCATCTCACACACAAATTTTAAGCACACAATGAACACAATTTGCATTACACACATTAAAATGGTACTGGAACACAGGCCATGGAAATCACATCTTCCATGTTTTAGCTTATTTAAAATGTTTGCATCTTTTAGTGCATAAGTATCAATCTTTCTAATTCTGTAAACCTTAGTTGTTAAACGTACTCTGTGGTAGTCAGTGTTTATGCCCAGGGTGCCATCTAATTTGGGAACCATAAGCATGGGAATGCCCACTGACTCTCACTAAGCACTACAAACTGGTGTTGGAAGAATTTCACTTCTTCCTCCATCTCCAATTTTTCATACAGATTTTTCCCACACAAAAATTGTTGAATTGGCTCAGTTTCCTTAACAATTTCCTCATGGAGTTTCAATTTTTCCCCATTACTGACATCCCAACTTTTATATACGTAGTTCCAAGGTGGCTGAGCCAATTCTCCAACATTTTTCTCATTAAACCCAAGCATGCATTTCCCAAAATCTTTTACACACACGTTATTTCTTAAATACGCTTTTGGTATTTCATACAGATTGTTTTGCAGGTTTTTACATTCCATTAAAACATTGGTCTCTCTGAATTTTTGACACAACTTCAAACCCTTTGACCGGTTACTGTGTACATTATACTCATTCTTTTTCTGCTCAGGGGTGTGGGTTTTATATCTAACCCCTGGGAACTTCCCCCACAACATGTTCAGCTCACAGCAACTTGCCATACAGATTTTCACTTGAATTGGCTCCAGTATCAGCACTTCCTCTCCAGCCTCCAGAGTATCATGGTCCATGTTATGGTCCCACATCATCATCCTGGTCTGGTTGATGGCACGTTCACTGGTACCATCCACCTCATACGAGCCAAACAGTATCTGAAACTGAGAAAAGCTCCGAGGGGGGAGCATCACCATCCTCCCCAAGCCATAGCTCAGAAATTCCAGATGCTTCCCCACTCAGCAAATAACAAAGAAAGGGATCCTCTATCCCATTGTTAGTATTGTCTATACCATAGGCTTGCATCATTGTCTTGAGGGCTTGATGTAATTTCCTCTATTTCCCCTTGAGATGGAGGGTGATAGGCCATTGCAAAGTTAGGCTCTACTTTTAATTCCTTCAAAACATTTCTAAAAGACTTTGAGGTAAGGTTAGGCCCTTGGTCTTTTTGCACTGCTTGTGGAAAACCAACATGAAAAAAGAACTTCATCAAAGCCCTTAAGACTACATGAGCGTTATCTTATGCAGAGGGACTGCTTCCAGGTACCTGGTAGTGGAGCAAATATTTGTGAGTAAATAATCATTTCCCATTCTGGTCCTTGGGAGTGGGCCAACGACATCCACTACCAGCTTGCTGAAGGGTTCACCTGGTGCTGAAATCGGCTGAAGGGGAACAGGTTTAATACTTCGACTAGGTTCCCTATAATTTGAAAGGCATGATAGGTCTCAATATGCTCTCTGACAGTCTCCCACAGCTGAGACCAGAAGAAATGCCTGGAAACCTTGGACATCACCACCTGGGGACAAAGCCCTTGTTCTCCTTCCATCGATACTGCAAACAGAGGTGAATTCTTTATAAGAGTTTCCTCCCTGAAATGAAAACACTTATTTAACTGTAAAATCTCTTCCTCAGCAACAGCGACATTTTCCTGCACAGAAATTAATTGCACCCTAGCAGGTGCAGCCTCTCTCACACTATTTAACTGATCCATTCTCCAATCATGCTCAGCTCTGGCTGGAACATCCTTTTCTTCAGTTGACTGCAGTTCAACATCAGAAAGCAGAGTTACCAAACTTAAGCCCTCACCATCCTACATGAGAAATATCATGAAGGCTGTTGGTAGCATGATCATGAGCCATACTTTTCATGGTGGAACCATCAGGGAGAAGGTCTGGCAGGGTTTTCCTAGCCATTTCCTCCCAACATTTGGGACTTGGTTTCCCCAAACTAGTTGTTCCTCACTGTCTAACAGGCCCATAACATTATTCCCTAATAAGAGGTCGACCCCTTCGAAGGGAATTTCATCTGAGATACCTACAGGAGATAGCCAACTTGTATGTAGATTCTACCCATAATTGTGTACCGGTGTCTTATGGTTGAACCCGTAATACCCTTCAACAATATATCTACCCCAGTATAGGTATCCTTAGACACTGGTAGCACTCCAGCACGTAGCAAAGAGTAGGTGCTACATCCATCTCTCAAGGACAGTATGTTCTCAACTCTGCCTACATCCTTTTGCAAACCAACTGCGGACCTACTAGAAAATATACACATCCTGGGGTCTAGATCCAAAGGTTCCTCCTCACCTTGCCTTGAAGACCTAATGCAGGCAACTGGATGTATCTCTGCAGTTAGAGTCCTCTGGGGTGGTTCCTCCCTTTCCTGATCTCTCCGCCTTGACCAGCAAAACTTTTGAGTGTGTCCAGTTTTGTTACAGTAGTAACAGGCATAACTCTTAAAGGTATTTTTACCATTTGGTGTAGGACTGGTACTGTTTACTCGAGGACCTGAAACATTATCTGATTGTCTAGGTAAACTTTGAACTCCAGCTGACTTACCTTTTCCTTCTATTTCATAGGGCACCTCAGCCTTCATTGTGTCCTGAAAATTCTTGTCCCACTTACCTTTATGACATAAGACTTGGAATAAGGTTTAGAATGAGTGGGGAAATTTTCAGAAGCAGCATGACTGTTTTTACTTACCAATTCCCTGCGAGCCAAAAATCGGTCACCTAGATCCAGTGCTTCAGAAAGATTATCTGGGTTTTTGTCCTCTAAATATTCTCTGAGGTCAACAGGGATTGTATTGTACAATTCCTCATGAACCATCAGATCTACTAATTTGTTATAGTCTTTATTAACTCCTTTAGAACAAACCCATTTCTTAAAAAGGAACAGTTTCTCATTCCCAAACTCAGTTAAGGTCTGCCCATCCCGAAATTTTTTATTTCTGAACTTTTGTCTATATTTCTCAGGTATCATTTGGTATGCAAGCAATACTTCCTCTTTAATCTTATCATAATCAGAAAAATTTTGCCCCTCCAGAGTCTCTACTCTCTGGAATCCTTTACCCACAAGTTGTGTGCGAACTAGGGTAGCCCACTTCTGTTTGGGCCATCCTTGCTCCAAAGCAGTCTTCTCAAAAAAAGAAAAATACCTATCTGGTCACTCTCTGTAAACTTAGGGACAAATTTGCAGCTTTAGTTATGTTAAAGTACTGCTCAGGCTCTTGTTCTGAACCTCCTAACCTTTGACGTTCTTTCTCCTTAGCTTTCATTAATTTCATTTCAGCCTCTAGTACAGCTAATTTCAGTCTCATTCTCTCCATTTCCATATCACCTGGAGTAGGTGATTCCTCATCTCACTATTAACAGGCATGTTTACTGATGAATTATTACCTTCTTCCCTGAAGCCTAAAAATCTGAAGACTCATCTTCTGACATAGTTTTATCTTTAAACACTTGCTTCCCTCTTACAGTATCAGTGACAAAGTTTTCCCACAGGCACATAAAATAACACAAATTGAATGTAAACTATGCACATAGCACTTACCATAACCACAACAAAAATGTGTTACTCCCCTTTCCCCCCACCTTAGAGAAAAACAACCTGTAAACTAAATATATGAAAACAACACTTCCACTGACACCACCTTGGTAAATCTTCTACCAGAAACATGCAACTGTTATTACCCCATACCAGCACATATAGTTCAAAGAATGTTTTGAGTTATTTTAGCAGTCAAATAACTCTCCCGGTCAAGCTCCCATGTTACGTTGGTTGTCCCTTATTACTTTGATAGTAAGGTTCTCACTACATGTTCTAGTGTGGGTAGCTTTTACTTAATGGTCTTATTTGTCTAGGGTAATACTTACATCATGGCTGATCATCCTGAGTGTCTCTGATACCCTTTCACCAGCCCTCTTCACAGGTTATGTAAACTACTACTATAAAAAATATAACTGTATTCTCAATAGATATGTACAGAATATACAATTACAGCCTCACATTTTCAAAACAACGATCTACACACTGCATAGCTGTTCTCCCACATGGTATATCTCAACAACTTTAGTCCTCTCTCTCCTTGACATAACTCTGGGCTAACCAGTGTTTTGACACACTTTAGTCACCCTGGGTATGGTGGTCACAACTTAAATTATAAAAAAAACTCACCCCTGGAGCACACATAATGCCCCAAAAGATAGAAGAAGGACCCAGAGATCCTGCCAGGTTGAAGGCCAGCCACAGAGAGACCGAGTCAGTCCGAGGGAGAGAGAGAAAGAGGCTAAGCTCCTCCCACCAAAACAAAAGACTGTTGCCAAGCACAATTCTTCAGTTACCACAATTCTACCACACCTTAATTTTACTTCTACAAAAGGAAATACAACTTTATAAACTACTTATTTGCCAAGCACAATTCTCCAGTTACCACAATTCTACCACACCTTAATTTTACTTTTACAAAAGGAAATACAACTTGCTCCTCCCACCAAAACAAAAGACTGTTGCCAAGCACAATTCTCCAGTTACCACAATTCTACCACACCTTAATTTTACTTCTACAAAAGGAAATACAACTTTATAAACTACTTATTTAAATTTGTGTGTTTATGTGTCTATAGTATAACCTATTATATTGAGAAAAATAGGCTTGACCCAGCTGCCTCAGTCATAAGGTTGATCAGTCCTTCTGACATTTAGAGCAAAGTCCCCATCAATTCAATATAATTAGGTATTCCAGAGTAACTGTTACTTATAAATACATGTTGGGTCCTATAGCCCCATAACAGTCCTGCTAAAGTAAGATGTACTGTCTCTTATTAAAATACACTCTGCAACACTCTGCAAGGAGCAGCGGTCACTTGACCACGTCGCATACTCGTACGACATGTGATCAATTACTCGCTGTAGCAGTAAACAAGACGCTTGCCCCTTCTGAGAGGGCTGGGCCCCTCAGGGCTGAAAGGGGCTGAAGGGGGCTGATACCCTCCTCCTGGAGAAAATTTCTCCACAGGATGGACCCTGGTACCCTTCCCCCTACCTAGGAACTAGCACGCCTGTGGGAAAAAATCCCAAAGGCCAAAAAGGAAGGGCAAAAGCAAGGGGTGGGGAGGAGGAGGAAAGGAAAAAGGGAAGGATGGGGAGGATGAGAGAGGGAAGGGGGGATTGGGGGGTAATTAGGTTCGGTCTGAGGAAGGAGACAGACAGGTTTAATTCCTCAGACCAAGAGGAAAGGGGGGTTAAAAACCTACAGTAAACCCTCAGTATAACACACCTCATTGTAAAGGTCTTAAAGTTCTTGGCAAAATCTACTGGTTGCATTATACCTTGAGTGCCTGCATTTTTAATGTTTAATGCAGTACATCTTAAGTGTACAGTACTATATTAGGTGTACACTGGAGTACTTCAATGCATTAGATTTTTGTGCTATTTTGTAACATTATTCCAATTTAAGGAGGCTATGAGCAAAATTTTTTGTGTGTGTCCAATTTCAATGGAATTTTTACTGTGAATTAAGCAGCATTTGAAACCTAGACACTGTTTTTAGTGACTTTTTCTTACAGTTAGATGGAAAAAAAATAAATAGTGCCCTATTCTACAGGGATTAAAACTATACCTCAACTATAAAATTTTTAAAACAATGTTCTAGTCGACATCAGATGAAAGATAAAGAGTTAGGTAATCTAATTACATGGACATTTGACCGGCAGGCCGGACTTGAGTCCTGGAGATGGGAAGTACAGTGCCTGCACTCTGAAGGAGGGGTGTTAATGTTGCAGTTTAAAAACTGTAGTGTAAAGCACCCTTCTGGTAAGACAGTGATGGAGTGAATGATGGTGAAAGTTTTTCTTCTTCGGGCCACCCTGCCTTGGCGGGAATCGGCCAGTGTGATAATAAAAAATAATAATAATAATAAAAAAATTGAGTGAAATGTCAATAGACTGCATTATACAAAATGTTGAAAGGTTTTTTTTTTAAAGGACTTTTTTGGGAGAAAAAATTCAAAAACAAAATGGTAAAACGTATCACAAACCTATGTAATTCAATAGAACCATCATTCCTCAATAGCGTGTGAAAAAATCACGATGCTCCTATAAATACTCTTCGCATGAGAGGGAAAATAATGTCGATAACTTATTCCTGAGTTGTACAATTATGTTTTATGTAAAAAAATTATGGTTATGGCCAGCCAAATCTTAGCGTGTTTCGCCCCTCCATCCTTGTTGACAGCCTGCTACTGAGGGACAATCTCTTTGCTCTCTTCACTTCAGTCCTCACAGAAGTTGCCATGTAGTGTATTTAGAATGAAAATCAATCAAATTTTGGAGTTAAAAAAAAAAAAAAAAAAAAAAACCACTAATTGCCAATATGTCTTCTTGCTGACAGCAAGAACAAAAAAGATTACATCTGTGGAAAAACATACTTAGAAATATGATAGAAACAAGCGATTCCATCAACATGTTGCCAGAATTATGCACTATTTTTTGACAAGAAAGCACTGTCCCCATATTTTTAACAATTTCAATCACAAAAGAAAAAAGTCATCACCCCCTCAAAGGGCACTCAGACAATCCCCCCATTAGTCCTCTACATCAAGGGTTTACTGCATTCACATACCCCTAGCAGTGCGCACCTTAGGTTATCTACTAACAATCGCACACCAACAAAGTGTGCAGATTAGGGATCAAACCCCCAAGATAACTTTTATCAACTTTAAATAAGAAAAGATATCATGCATTTTCACACTGTTGCATCTAGCATGTCATGAAAAGAGATGCAAGTAAGAAAGAACAAATGACAGCACATGGTCAGGTTAGGCAAGATTCATCAGAAAACAGAACAATTGTTTCCTGATGCAAGTCTTAGTAATACGTATACTGACCTGCCACTGATCATCTGACCAAGGCCTTCTGCTGGCTTGCAGGTCCACCCCCTTTAAAAATTAAGCTTTTTTTTTTTTAATGACAATTGCCTGGATATTATTGTTTAGCATCCCTTATTTAGAAAGCTCTCATAATCCCACCCTTTAACTTCCTGGTCAACACAATTTGCACTATTAAAAGTCAGCAATCTGATATTCCCAACTTGGTTCACCAAGTTTCTCCTACACTTAAATCAGGCCAAGGTCAGGCATCCTAAGCAAGTGTCTGACCAGAAGGCTCAAATGGCTAACAAAAACTGATCTGTAATTCAATTTTTAATATCTAAGATAATTTCTTTCTACATTTTGTATCCAATATCTGTCTGGGGGCATTTCCCTAATGTATAACAAATTACATTATTTTGAAATATAATGTTTGCTACATCATTTACATCACCACATTACCAAGTTAGGCGAGGCAAGATTACCCTTCCTTACATCATTTGTCTAAAATCTTTATCCAAGTGAAGTAAGGTAAAGTGTGATTAATTACACCATATTGAATCTTTACTAGCCTAACCTAGTGTGTGTGCAGATTCTACAAATGTGCAGAACAATATTTTACAAATCATGCAATTCATTGTCATTCAGTTTAAGAATATATAAAATTTTGAAGTAAACACAGAATACTTAAAAACTGAGCAGATTGCAAGATCACGTGACAGTATGTACATAAAAGTTCAGGACTAAATACTAAATTTATAAAATGAATAATGGAGTGACTATTTCGACGGTACCATGGAAGTAGCGGCCGGCGCTATTGCCATGGCTGTGGTGGTGGGAGTCTCATTGCACATGCGCGACGTCATTGGGCTGAATTCAACAAGGCGGCTGCTACAGACATATCTAGGAGGTTTGGCGATGTTTTTCAGGATGAATGCACTTATTCAGGTATGAAATCCTTTCTGGTGAATGTACAGTGGGACAGTTTTTTGAATCAGGTGATCCTGCAGTGATGTAGGAAACTGTAAAAGAAACATTTGAGTGTGCTACAAGACATGTACATTCCAATGAAAAAGCAGACGAGGAATTGTGGTGCTCCTTGGATGGACAGACAGGCAAGAACAAAATAGATAATGGCAAAGGTACCAAGAGTCATAGAACTATACAGATTATATTCAGTATAAACTGGGACTAAATCATGCTACAGTACCAATATTAGAAAAAAAAAAAAAGCATTTCGAGAGGAAAATGGCACAAAAGATCAAGGAGGAACCCAAAATCATTTTCCTCATTTACTAGACAGCAGATGAAAATCAAAGATACATTTGGCCCAATGAAAACTGACAGTGGACAGGGCCTTACTGCTATAGAAGAGGTAGATATAGACAATAATTAAAATTTACTGCCTCTATTTTCACACATTAAGACACCAGTATAATCTACCAGAGTCTAAACCCATGATGACTAGTAAATCTGAGGATGGAAATGATGTTAGGATTAAGAAAGACTTAAAGCACACTGGTAAACTTAAAGCAATTAAAGCTTTGGGCATGAACACTTTACAGTTGGAAGCATTGAAAGAGCTATCAGATGCCTTAGATGGCCACTTGGCTAGATTGTCAGTTTTCACTGGATTATGGGACTGTCAGACTACAAAAAAGCTAAGCTCTATTATATATACACATGTATATACATTGGGCATATATTATTTATACATATATTTAAATATATTTTTATACATAATATATTCATACATACTTGCTTTACAGGGTATAACATGGGAAGTCAAATAAATGCATCTGATATAACATAACTTGCAAGTTGTTCAAGAGAATACTGCAGATGGAAATTTGTAAACCATTTCCACACTTTCAATTTAATAAAGGACAGCCAGCATGGATCTGTTCAACAAAATCTGTCAAAGAGGCTTTTTTTTTTTTTTTTTTTTTTTTTAAATTTTTGTATTTCAGTGTATAGTAAAGGGGGGTTTCCAGACGAAAATTACTGCACAAAGGCCCTTAAATTTTAAAACCCTTCACATCAGGCTTTTTTTAAAATTTGGACTTCTTTATAAAGAGAAGGGTTTTTAAAAAGGTTTTCTCCATCAAAAAACCCGGGCTTTAAATTGGGACCTGTAGTGTCCCGGGTTTTAACTGATTTTTTCCCAATTACAGAGTGGTTAGGTTAGAAATAAACTTAAAAAAATTTTAACCAACTTGACTTACACAAAGTTCATTAAACCCATCGACAAAAATCGAACTTTTCCCCGCAACTTTGAGCTCAATTTAAAGGTTTTAAAATGGGGCCCCTAAAATTATCGTCCATAACCCCGTTCCTTGGAAGTAGACTATTACAAATAAAGGGTTTTTCAAATTTAAATTTTTCCCCACAAGAAAAAATTGAAAATAAAATTTAAATTCCGTTCGGGAAAACCCCAGATGTATTAAAAAAAAAAAAATTTTTTTACAGGGAAATATAGATGTATTACAAAAAACAATACAAGGGGACAAATAAAATGAAAAAATTTAACAGCAAAATACTTCCCTTTTATTGTGTTTTTCTTAGGTAGGGAAAAGCTGGAGGAGAAAATGTTTTTCCCTGTTTGGAAGGGGAATCCCTTCCATCAACCCCTCTTTTTTTTTTTAAAACCAAGTTTTTTTTTTGGGGTTTAACTTTCTCTTCTCTTTGTTTTTTTAAATTCCCCAACTGGGCCCCGCTTGAGAGTCGCTGGGGGTCCTGTCCGCAAAAAAACTGTCCAAGAGCTCTGTTTCTGGTTTCTCTTTAAAATTTCCCCTAAAATGGGCCAAGACTTGTCACTGCCCAAGTTGCGATAGGGGCTTGAAAACATCCTTCCAGGGTGAGTTTCCCCAAAAAATTTTTCCCATCCCCCCTACTTTAAAAAGTCCCCTTTAAATTTTCGAAGAAGGCAACTTTTCTATCTCTTTTCCTCCCCCTCGCAGCAAATTCTGAGCTGCAATCTTTTGGGAAGCTCTTGCACCCTCCTCAGGGGTTTTTAGTTTTTTTTTGGGTGGTCCTCCCCCAACTCTTCCACATCCCCCCAAACTCAAAATTCCAACCCCATGGAACCCCCAATGCAACAAAGATTTTCACAACTTACATAGGTCATCAGGGTCAGCCACAACCCCCTTCAAAATCCCTTTGTGGACAACGGGCCCACAAATTTCCCCAAGCAAAAAGTTTCCAAGCCGGGTTTGTCACTCCCCCCAAAAGCCTTACCTAAAAGGCTTATGCAAGGGAAAAATACTAAAGGGTTTTCTTTTCAAAAATCTCTTGGGGCAAGCGAGTGCCCGGGAGGTCACTTTAAAGCCCTTTAAAACCATTGTTTTGGGTTTTGTTTTTGAAATAAACCTCTGGCCCAAATGGGCTGGGGGGAAAAGGGTGGAAATTGGGGGGGGGCAAGAACTTTACGGGTGATGAACCCAAAAACCCCTTCAAAAATTATGCCACCCAAGTTTGGAGGATGGCAGGTGCACTGTCAAATACTAGGGGGCCTTGATCCAATTTCTTTTCCGGGAAATGAAAATTCTTCACACTGGGGCCCAAACACATTGAACCACCGACAAAAATTTCCCTCGTGCCCCATGCCAAAATTTTTAAAGATCTCCCCCAAACACACAATTTTACTCTTCAAAATTGTTTTTCAAAAAACACACGGGGTTTTTCAGAATGGTACAAGTAAAGGGCTTCACTTTAAAAATCCCCACAGCATTAGCAAAAGAAAAGAGCGCAGCCTGTTTTTTCATAGGTTGTGTTCGGGGCAGTCCCCCTTTTTTCCCCGAAAATTTAAAGGTCCTTTTTGGCATTTTTTTTCCCAAACAAGGGGCCTGTTTCGTCAAAAACTGAACACGCCATTTTCGTCCTTAAACCCCTTTTTAATTCCTGCATATTTTTTTTCCCCCCCGCTTTTTGGTCAAAAGAAAAACTTGCAAAATTTTTCTCATTTACCCACACCAAAAATTAACTTCTAACATTTCGGTAATGGGATCTCATTTTTGCCCGCCTATTTACCCCCTTTAACAACAGTTTCCCTTTGGGATTTCCTTTTTTCTTGGCTATGAGGAAGATAGGGTTTGTACGGGATTTGTTATAAAACCCTGGCCATTTTTGGCCCCCACACGTAGGGCCATTTCTTTATGTTCAATAAATTTTTTTTTAAAAATTCAATAATCTTCCCCCTTCTTTACCAAAGGTTGGGAAACTAGGAGATTTCTTTGGAGCCAGGGAAGCTTATTTAGCACTTAAAGCTTTTAAAATAAAAGGAAATTTACAGTAAGGCCCCGCTTTAGGGCGTTTCACCTTAGGGCCCATTTGCTAATACGGGTTGCCCAAATTATCCCAAAATTTTGCAAATAGGGCAAGGGTCTTTCAAAAAAAGGCGCCCCCACCCGGTTTGTTTACTTTTTTTCCGTGACACCCCTTTATGTCGGAAACTTTCCAAAATTTCAAGTTTTTTTAAAGTTACGGGCTTTTTTAAATATGTACTCGAAAAATTTATACAATGGGGTACCGTACCAAAATATACTTGCACACTGGCTGGTGGGGCGGTACCTTTTT